CGCTGCTGGTGGCCGGGGCTCCCCATGGCCCTGCCGCTGCTGCGCACCCACGGTGGGGAGGCAGCCTGCACTCACCAGAGCACTTCCCCGCAACACTGGGAAAGCATTGTGATCCTGGTGAAGTGCTGGAAGGCACGTCAGGAGTGGCCACATGCACATGGGCTGGGTCATCCTTGGGCAGAGGAGAACTGCTGTGTCTGCAGGCCTGGGGGCTTCCTCTGCCCCCTCTGCAGCCTCCTTGAGGCTGTGTTGACTGGCAGGTCTCACTCTGGCGATGAGAGAAACACCATGCAGGGCTGCTTAAACCTAAGCCTTCGTGTCCTGAAGCTGCAGTGACAGCACACAGGAGACTGGGGCGGCCCAAACACCACCAAGGGCCGGGCACTGCCAGCCTGCTCCTTTTCGGGCACTGCCCCATTTCTCCAGGGCAAGAGCTGGCAGGTGCAGGGCTGGTAATATCAGCTCTTGGTTTGCAGAGTCACCAGGGCAACTGGGGCCAGCTCTGGGGATACGGGGACAGATGCTGGGGTGCTCGGACTCCTCTGGCTTGCTCTGCAGGAGAGGGAGATGCAGACACCTTCCCAAGGACGAGGCGCGCTTGCCAGCACAGGGGAAAATGGGAGATGGATCCAGCCACCAGCGGGACCAGGCGGCCTTGCCTCACCCCAGCCGCATGGCTCTGCATCGCTGCGCTGGCTGCGCTTATCCCATCTGTCTTGTGGTGGGCTGGGAGCGGTGGGATTTGCATCAGCGTGGCCCTTAGCAACACTGGATCCCTGCCGAAGGGGAAGCTGGAGCGAGAGCAGGAGCTGCCAAGCAGCATTGAGCCCTAGGGAGGAGAGGAGGGGAGGCGGAGAGGAGAGGAGCGGCTATTTCTGCCAAGTGTGACGGGGCAATGAGGTGCTGACACGGAGCAGCTGCAGGTGCCCCTGCAGCGGAGGTGACTGCCTGCGTGCCAGCACTCGCACCCCGGGAGCAGCACAAGGCAGTGTGCCTGGGAGGGGGGACGCGGCACGGCTGGAGCAGATGAGGCGAGTTGGGCTGGGTGTCCCCAGGATGACATCCCGGGGGTGACAACCACGGTGTGCTCCAGCCTGCCTTGTGGAGCTCGCCTGGAGCTGGGTCACCCCGTTTACAGTCCTCAGTGTGCTCTGCCGTGCTGAGACCCTGCATCACCCTGGGCTGCTGCGCTCCCTGCAGCACCGCCAGCCGAGGCCAGACAAGGCTGATTGTGTCACCAGACCGTTTCAGTTACAGCATCTGCTGCAAGAAATGATCCCAGCTCCATCCCTTGCAGAGGTGCCACAATGGCCTCGCTGGCGCTTGAACGAAGAACCTAGCTGATCCTCCAGTGCTTGCTGTCAGCACACATCTTCCCCCTTGTTCGCATGGCTTTGGGGTTTGCAAGCACTTGCAATGGTTTCGTGTGCTCTCTGGGACCTCAGATGGAGAAGCGCAACAGGAGATGATGTGGCCCCTCTTCAGAGCAAAGCCAAGCCTGTGTTTGCAATGCTGACAGCCCCCAAGCTCATGCCAGGGCACAGATCCTCCTCTGACCTGGCTCCTGCACAGCCGGGGGGCTGCTTTAGCAGACACAAACCCAGCAGTTCTTTGGACACAGTGCCCAGCAGGAGCATCCTGGAGATAGCATTGCCATCTCTTTCTATTTACGTGCCTGTGTCACCGCACCCCAGCGAGGTGAGCCAGGCACTGCTGGCACCAGGCTCCTGCCTGACCCACTTAGAGCAGTTCAGAGAGCTCCTAGTGCACTGAGCTGGTGTTTCTGACAGAGCCATGGGCTGTTTCAACCAGTTTAATTACCCACATCTGAGTCATCCCAGCCCTGCTTTATCAAAGCTTGCAGCCTTGCAGACAAATTGCCCTTTGTGCTTCTCCAGGCCATGTCAACTGGGCTTTGCCAAGTACCAATTAATCAGCAGCTCCTGCTGTGATGGGCCTGGGAGATGGCTCCCCAGATGGGGATCAAGGAATGAAGAGGGGCCACTGCCCACTAAGTGGAGCAGGTGCCTCTGTGGTGGCGCTTGGCCTGGGCTCGCGCAGTGGAGAGATGAGAGGGAGGTGGGTGCTTTGTCCAGCAAGGCCGAAGCCGAGCGCACGGCTGTCGTGCCACGGTGTAAGCACAGCATGTGCAGAGGCAGCAAGCGGGGATGAGCCCAGGCTTCACCCTGCTGCATCTCCCGTAGTGGGGCAGGGTGGTGGGACCCCAAGAGCAAGAGGAGAGACTGTTGGAGACCTCGCAGATTCAGCTGGAGCCTTTCCATTTCCCCAGCTCCAGCCCGTGGCTCCTCTGCTCTATAAATCCCAAGGGTGGCAGTTCTGTGGGAGAGACATAAAATGTTCAGCATGCTGCAGGGTTGCACTAACTTGTTGCATTTGCTGGTCCCTGGAATTTGACTACAGGAGCAAGGACAACCACAGGATATTGTAATAGCAGAGATGTCACTGCATGAAGCCATGCACAGCCACACAGTAGCCAGCAGCCTGCCCAGCACAGGGCACATTTCTCACCTGCATTTCTCACCTGTGGCCTGAGGGCCACCCTCCCATGTGCACGGCACGATGGCTGTGCGCAGACACGCACAGACGTCGCGGGAGGTCACAGCACCGTGTGTCACCTCTGTCCCCCCAGCAGAAACCTGCAGCCGCTTCTGCCATTCCCTCGTCCTGGCTGCTTGCCTCACTCACACCCAGCGTGGGTGGCCCCTGCGACAGGCAGGTCACCATGTGATGCCCCAACAAGCCCTCTGCGTCCAGAGATACCTGGAAATCCAGCAGCAGCCATCGTCTGCCAGGGGAAAGGGGCTTAGGGCTGAGCCAACTAGAGCAAGGCAAACATCTGTGAGCACGGGAGCTTTGCAGGCCAAGGTTGTCCAGTCCAACAGGGATGTTCCACCATCAGCCCACGCCTCCCCCTTCCTTCACCAGGCCCATCAGCCTCCCGCACCACTTGTGGGCATCCCGGGATGAAACCCAGTGCCCAGCTTTAAGCCATGCATGTGCAGTGCGCAGGGAGGGCAGGAAATCCTGTTTGCTGGCCAGTGATTTGGAGGCCGGCAGGTCTGAACAGTGATGTGAGCTCTCCCTGGCACTGAGTGGGACTTGTGTGGTAGGGCTGGAGCGGTGCTATTGTCTGAGTGAATGCAAATGTAAAAAAAAAAAAAAAAAAAAATACCCACCCGGTATGCTGTTTCTAAGGGGCTGCCTCAGTTCCAGCAGGTGTTGTACATTTTCACGCATTCTTACCTCAGCAGAAGGCTGAGGGGGACTTCAAAATACCCAAACATTTTGGTATTTTGCTCTGAGGCTATTTGCGTTATTTCATGTTTTTCCTTGTCATTTTAATTTGCGGACTGGAAGAGTCAGTTGGGCCAATCTGCAAAACCTCTGAGCAGCTGCTGACTCCACGTCTTTGGCTGCAAAGGGCTCAGCGGGGAGGAATCGGCCACCTCGCTTGGCACCCCCCTTAGCCGGGGCACCCAGCGGGGCGGGAGGCTCCGGGCACAGAACGCTCCTCGGGGAGAGTTCCCAGGGGAGCAACTCTGCTCCTCAGGGAGCTCCTCTGCTCCTCGGGGACGTGGCAGAGCCAGAGGAGCGGCGAGAGCGATCAGGCCCCAGCTCTGCTCCCGCCTGCGAGCGGCTCCACGTCACGTGTGAGCTTCGTCTGCTGCTGACAGGGAAGCAGTTGCACCCCTAACTAGCAAATAGTTAAACGAGTCCTTGGCATGAAGTGGAGTGTAGTGACTTGAAAACCTGTGACATAAGCGTGGCTCTGCCAGCGCCTCATGGAGAGGCTCTCAGCACCTCTGTATCCCTCGGGACACGGATTTGCTCTGATGTGAGGAGCCCACGGGACTGCAGGGGATGGCTACAGCCTCTGTGCAGGGATCGCTGCCTGGAGCGCCAGCTGTGGGCACTGCTGCCTCCTTGGGGGTCCCATCCACTTCCCAGCATCACCCACAGCCGCAAACTCAGTGCAGTCTCTGGGGCTGCCAGGGTGCACGTGGCCTTCGACAAAGGAGAACAAAGTGCCTGGTACCGCCTGTCCTGGGCCACAGCATCACCAGCTCCGCATGGGATGTGAAGCCACTTAGTACCCCGAGGCACTTACACCTTTGGAGGATGAGGACGATCAGGCCAGAGCCTGCCAGGAAAATGAGGGAGCAGCCCAGGGTGCTGCATTCCCTAAGGACCATAAGGGGTTAACACAAAATGCCACCTACTGTATTTTCTCTCTCCTCCATTGAGGGCAGCTCGGAGCCCTGGCAGTAGAACAATGCTAAATTCTGATTAGCTCTGGTTTTCCTGCAAGAGGGGAGGCACAAGAGGGTGGGGAATTAATACTATTCTGCATAATTTTTAATCTAAATTCCATTTCTTTTCCTTTCTTTCTCTAGGAAGCAAACAATGTAGGGGGTTTTGCACTCAATTCCTTGCTTTCATAATCTAAATGAATTGTTTGCAAGTAGGAGCCAGCTGCAAAGCTGACAATCTCCGATCAAATCTGCCTTTCTCCTAGTTCTAGCAATCATTAATTGGCTCTTCAGCTCTGATTAGCTAATCCTGGCTGCTTTGTGGCAGTTTGCAGGGAAAGCACCGTGTGAACTGCAGCTCCCTTCCACAATGCTGGAGCTGGTGGCGGGTGACGGGATTGATTTTTGCAGGGTCCCTGGTGCTCTGGGTTGTCAGCTCTCCAGCGAGAAGCGCGGTGCTCTGGGAGGAAAGGCTGGTTTGGTTATTTAAGGAATCCTGGCATTTTGGAAATAACAGCGGATGATTGTTTCCCCTGCTTCATGCAGGGCTCACTGGTTTGTTAGATCAATTAGTGAGACTTTAAGATAGGAATTAAAGACACTCCAGCTGCCTCTTGTGTGGCTTAAGTAAACATCTCTGTGTTGCCCCATTTTTATTCTGTTCCTGCAGACTGGGCCATGCAGGATGTCGATTCCCCAGGCTGACTGCTGAGCGTAACGGCCTCCGGAGCATCCTCTCCTTGCGCAGAGTCCCCCAGCCTCGGGATGAAGGCCACGCAGCTCAGGGCAGCTCCCCGCGATCCCATGTTTTTACAGGCGTGAGAGCCCAGCTTAGCCAGACAAGCACTGGTGGCCACACGGCCCCCATCCCGCTCTGCTCCCTGTGTGCCCCTTGCTCATGTGTAGCTTAGCAAGCCTTGCCTTTCCGCTGCAAACCGGCTGCTTTTCATTCCAACATTTTTCTTTTTCTGAACGAATTCCCCAAGTGCTGGGGGTGGATCCTTTTAATTCGCATTTGTTTCAAAGCTCTACAAGGCTTAGAAGCACGACAGAAATGTGCCCCAAGTGCAGGAAATGACCTACTTAGCTGCGGGAGCAGAGCGGCTTTCCCTTCACCCTGCTTGCTGGGACCATGACCTCCTGCAGCACCGGGGCAGCTCCTCACCCTCGTCAGCGGCACGTGATTCCTAAAGCTTCCTTTCACGGGACATTTGGCCTCACTATAAAGCCCGACTACCCTCTGCCTAGATACAGCTGTGCTGGGGAGCAGAGGTTTGGGGGGCTACATGCAGTCCTGACACTGAACTGCTGTGCCTGCACCACCACTCACCCAGCTGACAGCAAGAACAACAGTCCCGTAACTCTACTTCAAGGTAGCTTGAAGACAGGGAAAGATTGAGGCAGGACTGCTGCCAGGTTGAGGAAGGGTCAGAACTATAACAACACTGGAAAGTATTGGGCAGTTTCTGCCTCATTTGAAAAGGGACGGAGTTTTGCCAGCTCGGAGAGTGCTCCCAACATTGTTCCATGCAACGCAAACAGATGCTGCTGGATGCACTCCTCTAGAAAGCACAGCTACTGTTCAGAAGGATTTGCCTTTGGGCACTGACCTTCCTCCCAGCAGCCTCATTCACCTTATGCAAATACCATATTCAAGGCTTGACAGTTTAATGACAAACAAGTATGAATGCTCTCGGAGGCCGGGACTTGCCAGCATGTGCATTTGCAGAGGTACCCAAAACAGCACCCAGCCATGAGCTGCTTGGGGACCTAGGCCACCTTGGCTAGCAATCCTGGGACTCAATGTAGTGGATGCTGTCAGACGTCAGGGAGTCGAAAAGGCAACAGAGCAGCTCTTCAGCCTAGGGGGAGAGAAGAAAGGCGTTGGGAGAGAGCTGTGATTTCTGTGCATGTCAGACAAACGTCTTCCTTTCCCAGGCAGGTTTCTTGTGTGTACTGCAAGCACAGTGAGGATGTGCCCTGGATTGACAAGTCCCAGCACAGAGGTGGCTATGAGGGTCCTACAGCTAAGAAATGTTTGCTGCTGTTATTACATTACTGTTTGGCTTTTCTCAAGATTCTTATTTTCAAGGAAGAGAGGAAAACAAACAACTTGCAAAGTGCCAATGCGCCTCCCTCCCCTTGGCTGCTTCTGCCTCACCTTCCCCCATTCAGCTGCACGTGAGGAGAAACTCCATCCAGCCACAGGATGTCCCAGGCCTGCGGTATCATCTGTTTGAGCACAGCACAGCCTGGCAACGCTGTTATCTCACGTGCCTCCTGAAGCACAGCTACTCTCTGAGTTTCTCTTTCAGCTGGGATATCTCAGCTTTCCCTCCTCCCAACAACAAAGCTGTCTGTTGTACTTTGTTAAACAGAGAAGACATCAGTTTTCTAGAGATAAAACCCAACAGACTGGGCATACTCTCCTTGCATGGAATCAAGCTTTAGGAATAAGCACTAGAAAATCCTCACGATTCCTGGAAATGCAGATCTGCTAAGGGATCTGTGAGGGCAGGTGAGGTCTTTTCAGCAGACTTTGGGCAACTGCGGTGGAGGGATCTGCATATGAGATCCCTAGATGCAGAAATAAAGTTCAAGAGTATGAATTCACCTGCTCCTAACACGGTATTTCAAATAGGGCAGATAAAATGAGCTGCAGAAGTGCTTACTACAGTCTAAATGAAGGTTTAAGAGAGGCCAAACAACTAGCCCAGACACGTGGGCACTAACACAGTCCACGCTTGGGAAGCTGAGCTCCTATCTGAATGTCTCATCCCAAACCACACAGGGAGCAAGTATGAAATTCCAGTTCGCTTGCATGGTTCAACTAGACCAGTGAATGCTGTGGCCATGCTCAAACCACGAGGATTTGAAATCTGTGTTCATTTAACCCTGCTGAACTTTGCCTGATATCATGTTGTTGCTCATTAACTTTGACCTGGAAAGCCTGGCTGACATTTCATAAACTCATTAGCCAAAGACCATAGGATCAAACATGGTTTCTGCAGACGTCCTTCGAGGCATGGTCATTCTCTGGTGAGTTTGCTCCTCAGATCTTGCTTTAGGATTTCTAAATTTACAGCAAATTTCAGAGCAAAACTTTGTACTACTTGAGAACAAGACCCATTACTTTCTACTCCACTTCTGGAAACCAACAAATGAGGAATGCAGCACCCAGAAGCTGTTTTCTGGTTTGAGTGCAAAATGGTGAGGCGTCACTTTCTCCTCTCAGGCTTAGGCTGATGGTCTAAACCATGATGCTGTGAATAGCCCCTGCTTCCACCAAAGCCAGAGGGATTTGATACAGTGGTCCAGGCTGCTAAGAGCAGGGAGAAGAGGGGCTCAAAATCCTTGCTTTTTCTCTGTCTATCACAGAAGGCATCATAACCTCCTTCTGATAGATTAATTACCCATAGCCATGAAGCAGAAGGGATTTTATGTCAGCCAGAGACATGTAATGTCCTTTTCAAAGCAGTCAGAAGACAGCCTAGAGTTGCTGCCCTGTCACATTACATGGCAACAGACTGGCACCCTGGCAGCAGCACGCGCGGTGCTGTGACAGCCCGCGGTGCCCCGGCGTGGTGCATGCGGACCTTCCGTCCCGCACTCGTCCTAACTCTTCAGGCACTGCCTCCTGTCTCCAAGTCTCTTGCTTGGTTTGTACTTTGATGATTACAGCTAGAGTTTCAAAAACAGTGTATTTTATTACCATTAAGTGACCAAAAGCCTTTCCTTCTCTGAGATGAGCTCCTGAGAAAATACTCAGCTAGCCCAGCAGTGCAATAGGTAGTGCGTTAATTTCTCCTCCTCCATTTGGACTTGGGCTCCTGAAAGGCAACTGCCAGAACACATGATATGTGCCAGCTTTGCACTGCGGGTTGAATGAATATTTTCTGTTGCTTCTTTTTAACAAATATCACAAATACTTTACTATGTGATGAATCTTCATAAAAAAAAGTAACTGACTTCTTTGGAAAATACTGAATCTTTACCAAAAGCCCCAAATATTTTGATTCAAAATTGTGCTCCTGGTACCATATGGAAGACACAGTTTGCCTGACTTTTGGTCCCAACTTCCATCATGTGCTCAGCTCTCAGTCTGAGTCAAGGCTAGGAATTGCCATGAAGCACCACCTCTGTCTTGTACCAGTTGAAATTTTCTTTAAAAATACAACATATTTTGACAAGCTTCATTCATCACTAAGGCACAAATGAGATATATCTGCACCATAAACTTCTCTACTTGCCTGCTTCTCGTTCTGAGGATAGAGGAGATGCTGCACAGTGTCCATGACCGACTGCTTCTGCCAACAAACGCTGGGGGTAAAGAAAAAGGCAAGCAAGAGTTATTTGTTATTTTTGCCATCTAAGCTGTCAGGGACTGCAGCTGACCTCGCTTTGAGGAGGGTGATGTTCTGTGCCAGCAGCTCTGGCCATGTGCATGCATCTGTTACTGAACTTCTTTACACAGATAAATCCTGGGTTTTACAAAGCTTTGTATAAATGGATTTGGATTCTTAAAATATAAGCCTTCAAACAAACAGTAATGACCTGTTGCATAATCGGGTCTCTGGGGCAGTGGGAAATTTACCTACATCTAGAGATTTAAGCTCTGTGCAAGAGCCGTTTTCTCAACACGGATGAGCTGTAGGTTCTCCCTGCAAAACAAACCAGGGCGCTCTGAGCTGCCCTCAGCCACCAGGTCTGCTTCACTCATCCTTGTTTAGCTCTTACCGTTCTCAAGCTTACAGAAGTCACACATGAATTTACCACAAAAGGTATTCAGGAGAAATGAAAAGGCAAGATGCAAATCTCCAAACTGCCTTTGCAACTAACTCTGCAACAGTCAGAGACTTAGGCTTGAAAACACTCCAGATACTTTAGAAACCACTCCCTGCTCCCTGCCCCCATAAGCAGGTATTGTGTTTGGCAACAGGTTTCCCTTCAATGCTTTTGCACAGTTCCAGAATTTTACATGTTGTTGTGTTCATTTTTTTTGATTTCTACACTTCCTTCCACTGCAAATTGCACCCAGAGATAAGTTTCCTCTGAGGGATAACATCACTCCCCACTGATGGCAATTATCACTTGGTAAGAATGTTTCATCAGACAGAGTAATATCCAGCTAAGTTCCTAATCACTTGACTTCTGTTCTGATTGCACTACATTCCAAAAAAATAGGAAGGTATGAGGCCTGGCCTATACTCGGATCAGGCTCTAGGTACCCTTTAGTCAATGCCTGCTTGCTGCGTTCAGTACAATGCCAACTCCTAAAGACTATGCACTATACAATTAAGTCCTAACAATCTCATGAGCGTCTTCAAATAAAGCCATTATTTTTGAAAAGCTCAAATAACCATAGAGGAACAAGTTCTGGTGTAATCACTATTAAATCAGTGTCACTTAGTACAGTAACTAAATCTAGCATGTCATGCGAGAAGCATAAAAAACAGAGTATGTCTTTCTTGCAGTAGCTGCTTTGAATCTACTTACAAATTCTTCCCCCTACCACCCTGCAGCTAGGAAATCTGGCTTTAAAAACAAGTTATGACAGGGGAAATGCAAATGCTTAACACTGAGAATCCAGGCAACTGGATGCCAACAGAACAAGAAAGGTAAGTCTCAAATCGTTACTCCTTGCCTGTGGATAGGACTGTGTCACTTCCGTCTCTGGATTCTTCCCCTAGGCTCCTACTGCTCTCACACCGTTTCAGCTTCCCCTCATCTCCTTCAAACGTTTGCTTCGCTCTGCCCTTGGCACTCTCCCAGATTGTCCCAGATTCCTGCCCTGGCTCCACTCTTTGCAGTCAACCAACCTTGCAGCTGCTTTTGTGCCTCTACCTGTATAAATTTTGTCCCCTGCTCTATTCTTCCTGCCCTTTGGAGCAGATATAATCCCGTGTCCAGAGAAGGGACAGAGCGGGCACTGCTATCCATGAGCAGCAATCTCTGCACAGCTTGGAGGGGTGCCTCTGTGTCTAAGGCAGCTGCTTGGGGCAGCACGTTCTGCAGTGAGTGGAAGCCTCTCCTGACAGAGTTGGCCTAGGACAGCTCTGCCAGGCTCGGAACCACGAGCAGCTACAGAAGCAGTGCCTGCATGGTTCCTCTCAACACCCAAGCCCACCTCTGACACGCTGCCCAGGCCCCCATACAGATGGCAACATTTCTCCTTGTGGCACAAACCTCAGTAATATGGCTCAGCTGGGAACCACCTCCCAGGGCCATAAAACAGTCCCTTACACAGTGGGGCTTTAGCAACACAGCTGAAATGCAGGCCAGAGCCTGCAGTACTACTGAAATCCTGGACTAGGGCAATAGCAGTAAACAAACATACAGCGGTAAATAAATACATGTATTTAGTGCAAGAAAGGTCATGTGGCTCTTGCTGATGGAGTCATAAAAGTAATTAACCTCACAAATTAACCTTACATGTTGATTTGAAACATTCATAAACTACGCAATGAAGATGTCTTAGCAAATATCCTTTTAAGACATCAGTAAATTCAGGCTGTTTTTTGCAAAGATATTTGTGAAGTCAATTTTCAAAACTATGATACAATAATCATGGTAATAGTGATTACCACGTGGCAATGGTGATTATTGCACAATGCAATCACCACTAGCTTAAATTTCTCTCAGAGTCACTGCTTCTCCTCCTCCCCATTCTTGAACACACTTTGCTGCATCTCCCTTCCACAGGCACCATCAACCATGAAGACAAATATTTTCTTTTATAAAGGTGTTTTTTTTTTTTTAATAGCTACACAATCACCTGTTACCGCTTTGGGGTAAGAGGTGGAATGGAACTCACCCTTCAGTAGAGCATCCCAAGAGCCATAATGTCTGCACTCAAAACTTGGAGTTTGGAATGGGGCTCCCAAGTGTGAAATTTTAAATGAATGTGAGCAATGTCTAAATGCTGACATGAACTTCAAAATATTTTGGAAAAACTACTTTTAGTATTTTTTCCATCTCTGTCTTCTCACTATGGTCTTGTGGCTGAGCACTATAAAATTCAAAGTACAGGAACTCCCTGATGTGACCAACTGATGTTCGGATTTGTTCATTTTGGTGCTTGTAAACTCCATCATCCTTGAGTTCCTACTCTTGTCACATTGATGATGCCATCTGGAAGTTCTCCAGATGGAACAGCCGAAGTCATGACAGCCTTATTGGTGTGGCGATAGGACTGCTCCATGCTGGATGTGTCTGAAAGCAGATCTTGGCTTCCTTTCCCAGAGGAAACCACGTGCGTGAATTGCACGTCGCCCTGCCAAATACCAGCCCCTTTACAAGGAAACTTTTCCTCTTGGGGCAAGTGGGTTAATTAGCCTGATAATCATTCTATTCCACTAATCAGTCCCCATAGAGGGGTTCTGTTTGTTTTATCAGGCTTATAAATCCTCTACCAAGCATTTCTGGTGATTTATTTAAGAGGCTTTTTTTTTTGATTTTGCTCTCTGGTGAGTGTTTGTTTCTTTTTTTTCCCTCCATAGCAAACATAAAATCTGCTAAGATATTTCTCTTAGGAATTTTATTGCTTCAGCAGGTCTATTCCTAATGTTGAGCTTTTATTTCAGAGATTTCCCTGTATCTGCGAAGCTACGCTGCCAAGTCTCACAGACGCGCTGAGTTTGTGACAACCAGCATGAGCCACGACTTCGGGTCCCGAGTGTGGGGCATATGACTCCCAAATTGAACAACACTCTGAGGTGTTGATGCACCAGAGGGAAAAAAAAAAAAAAAAAAGGTACCTTATGAAGAATGGGTTGCCTTTGAGAGATATCCAGCCACATGAGAATCTAAACTGGAGGTGAGTTACAAAGAGGAAAGTTTGGCTGCCCTTGCTTAGAGCACAAGCTCTCTAATGGGGTTGAGACAGTGGTGGGAAAGTGCTACTAAAGTGATACTGTCCTCACCTGTCCAGCAGGGAGTCGAAGCAAATGACTGCATTGTCTCGCTGTGCTGCTAACACCAGGCACAAACCATCCATTAAGAGCGAACACTGTAAGAGAGGGAAGAACAGAGCTGGGGTGTTGATATCCACTTGAGTCTGTAAGCCTCGCTGATGAGCTGCTGACAGCACAGATAAATGATCGTGTGCTGTGTGAGGGGAGGAAAGAAACAGTGCAACAGGCTGCTCCAAACTGAACGAGTATTTTGTCTGAACTGTTAGCTACCCTGCTCCTATGGCAAAATATTTATTATTCCTGCTCCCTCTCTCAGAGTGAAAATGAGCAGGTTATTTAGGTGTGTTATTCAAGCAGTAAGTCTGCTGAAAGCAGGAAGGCAGATAACAACTGTAAATGTTTCAGATACTGGAGCTGAAACATTTCTTCCTCCAAGGAGCCAGTCTCTCTTTCTGGCAAGGGAATGCAAACACTGTAGCGTTCACGACCGGTTCCCCAGCACCAGGCCCTTCTGGAAACGTGAGAGCCCTCCCAGAGGAACCAGTCTCTGACAAGAGGAAGAACTGCCATCACCAGGTGAGCAGTGCCGCTGCCATGGCTCTGCTTGCAACGTGCTGCTTCTCCTTGTCCTTCCTAGAGAGCTGTGCACATTCCTGTGTGCAGAGGGAGGGCATTCTCAGGGGAACCGCAGGAGAACACACTAGTGCTTAGACTAATTGGATGCTAGACGTAATTGCTACTCTATACAGACACACTTCAAAGGAATGCTGTCGGTTTAGAAAATCACAGTCTGAAAAGATCTTACCTGCTCTTGTTATAAGTAACACCTAGAATCTTATAACTGGAGGACTGGAAACACAAATGGTTTTCTGTACTTTTCAGAGGGACTGCTCTGTGCCTCTGGCATTCCTTCACTGATAGCTACTTTCAGCATAAGTTATTTCCCCTGCTGTTTACTCTGTGCTCTTGACAGCACCTTGCATATTATATCTTACTGCTTTGCTCTAGTTAGGTTCCTGAAATAGAGGGTTTCTTCTAGACCAAGGGCAAAAAGGAAAATTGGTTGGGCCAGATACCCTGCTCATGTGAAGCAATGTGTATGCAGACCTCAGAAGCACATCTCATGCTTAGTTTGGGCACTTGCTTAAATCCTATTATGGACTATGGCTTGAGTTGTCATCACTGACTAATGGAGAGGCAAAACAAAGTCTCTGCCCAGAAGTCTAGGGCACAGTCCAAAAAGCAGAAGAGTTATGTATAGTTGTGGAAGAGGATTAATGGGGTGTGGTTACAGGAAGGGAAATGGAAACTGCATTTATCTGGAAGAACACGACAGACTACAACAGCCTAACATACATAATAGCAGCAACTGTGCACTGATAGGTGAACGTAATGAAAGCTTTGATAGGGAGGTGTCATTCAAACGAAGGGTATGCTTGCACAGAACGATGCCCAGGGCAGGTAATGAGGGGCGTGCAGAAGTGTGGGATCACAAGGCTGGGGCTAGTTTGCAAAGCCCTCTGCACAAATTGCTCAGGAGAGGTATTAGAGCTCAGATGCCGTGCTCTGCTGCTGCCAAAGCCAGTGTGCTCAGAGCTGGTGTGGGCACCTTAGCACAGCACTGCACTGAGATGGCTCTTCTTTCTTGGGGAAAGCTGCAAAGCGCAGCTCCAGCTCCCTCCTACCTTTGCTGCAACACTGCACTTTGTCCTGCTGAGCGTCTCGGAGATGCAGTGAGCTTGTGGTGCATCCAGGACAGTGAGCCGCACTCCCGTCACGGCAAAACCTCTGCCAATAAGCTGATCAAGCAGTTCAACATAAGGTGGGTGCTCTGAACCCCGCAGGATTATCCCAGGCAGTATGAGGCAAGTGGTTTGGAAGAGGGCATCAAGCCGTGGCAGGTCTGGTGGGAAAAGATCAAAAGACAACAGATGGGTTGGGCTTTTTATGTATCTAACCTTTCAACTGCTGGCCTTTTAAATAATTCTTCCCTGCCACAGACAAACAACTGGAAGATCAGAGATGTTCAGGCATTGTTACATTGCTGGGGATGTTCACAGATGTGACTGCTCATCCCAAACTGTCAAACTGCTCTATGCCTACGTGTATGTATCTAGAAATCACAAGGCAGCTGTAGTGACCCCATTTCAAGAGTCAGACAAGGACAGCTGCTGATTTGCTGCAGGAGACACTATTCCATTTAATTTCTTCCAAGCAAAGAAATCTGTTAATCCAGCTGCTTTTATAATCCAAAATGTAATTCTGATCAGCATTTGTAAGATTTAATGTATTTCATATTTTCCCTATGATAAATCTATCTATTAGGCAGAAGCTTTGTGATAATTATTTGCTGAAGGGAGACATTTCCTTGTGTGCAAGAGCTACCTCTAGTGTTCATGACGAGACCACAATGTGAATGATGTGTCTGGCTGGCTGGAGGCACTTACTATATTGTGCCTGGCAGTTCAGAGATCACGTGGACTTGCTTTGCCAGGACAGCAAGTCTCTGAAAAACATTTTCTTAGACACTAACACACCAGGGCTGCATTAGGTTCCTTTTCGCTCCTTAGCCATCTCCACAGCAAAAACACAAAAGGTTCTCATGAAGTAGGAAATTAGGGACGCAGATCATGAGATTTGCTCCCAAGACTAGGCTGTACAAAGCTTGCAGATGATTGCCATCTCTCCACAGCTAGCTCTTTATTATATTTTTCACTTGCAATCTCTTCTAAAATGAGAAAGTGTGTCAGTCACAGCAGGCTTGTGCCACAGGCCCGAAATGAGTCACAGCAGGCTTGTGCCACAGGCCCATTCCTTTCCCATCGTGCTGCACTTGTTAGTGGAAATACCCTGCCTTTCAGCAAGGGCCACAGAGGACAAATGGCACTGGGAACACCTGCAAGTCTCCTCTTCCTGCAGCCTTGTCCTCTGAACACAGCTCAAGCTGATGCACTGGGCAGAATCACATCTCTGCAGTTACCCAGGTGAGGTGGTCATGCACCAACGTGCACTGCAACCTGGCTGTTACAGAGACAAAATTGCCAGTCTCTTGTCTCGGTGCTCATACAATGGCTTGGGAACATCCGCAACATTGTGAGACAGGCCTTACCCTTCACCATGTGCAACAGTTAAGCCTTAAACCTTCATGCAATCAGTCTCTGATATATTAGCGTGCAAGGTAAGAAAATAAGCTTGTCTGAGACGATCGAGCCTTACACATGATTTTTGTCAGGATCACTAAGCATATGTAGGGCAAAGCCCAAAGCCGATACAGGACAACAGAAATCAATAACTGATATGCTGGGAAAAGTCCTTCAGATGCCCACCATTCTGCTTGCCAGTCACTTCAGAACTCAAGCTACAGGCATATTTGGAATTGGGTCATTCTCATGTCTGTTCCTTAGTGAACAGTGCATGGAGATATTACCTGGTCCTGCTTGGTTATAAAGGCTTGGAATCAATCAACAAAATCCCAGCATGGAAGCATCCATGTTCGAGTTTCACCTCCTGACATAAAAGGACTTGCATCAAGGCCTCTGTTGTCTACATGCCTAGCCAGTAAAAACAACAGGCAAGGCCCAGAGAAGCTGCAGGCATCTGTGGGAAGGGAATGGCTTACAGGCTTGCTAAAGTCACAACTTTGAATCAAATTCAGGCCAGAACTAACTGGAAGTCATTTTGAGCTGGCGGCTGTTCAGCAACTAGTGGGAACCGAACGAGATCTCAGTCAGGTTCCCAAGAGATAGATGTCCGCATTGCCAAGAAGCACTCCCTGCATAAATGTTATTTATCAATGCCTGGAACAGAAGGTCTCGCAATGTGTCCATCACTGTGGCGTCCTGGTCCCTTCTGCGGCAGGCTTTGAACATCCATGGCAACCATAGTGACCAAGCTGGCGTTGAAACATATCGTAAAAATTCAGCATAGATTTATCTGTGTTGACAGCACTTTTTTTTTTTCCCTCTTTTACTCCTGCAGGAAATCAGGTCAGCGCTTCTTAACAGCCCTGCATTTAAACCCATGAAAACATGAGCAGCAGAAAGGGGGCCTCGCAGCCAAATGGTTAAACAGCTGCACTCCACTGGAGCTGTTCTCTCCAGCTCAGAATTGTCTTTGTCGCCTGAAAGGACATCAATACCAAATATCGCTGCCACCAGATGGTTTGTCTTGCTGTCCAATTAATCAATAACAGCCTCAAATCTATAATAAGAGTTACGTATTTCCTTACCCAGATCACATGCTTGCTCAGAGCCCGATAAATTGAGCTGTCCTCTTGTTTTACGTTTTATGATCTTGCGCTGCTTGTTGATTTCCAGACCAACTATGGGGTCGCGTTTCAGGTTATGGATCTGCAGGAGGGGAGGGATGCAGAGAGATGCAAGTCATGTGAACACCATCACCTAATAGGAAGGTAACACTGCTCAAGTATCGATTCAGGCAAGCTGTGAAGCTTCTGTTGGTGTTGTGTACTCTTGTAATTGCCAGCCCAGAAAACACCTGTCTGTCTAGATTTACAAGAACATTTTGTGTGCATTCCCCTTTATCAGGGTTTAATTCAGTATGGCATTTTGTTATCCTTTTAAAGATCCTGCATCCTGACACCCTTTTAAGGTCTCTGTCCCTGTATCTTCAAGGCCAGAAACTCAAAGACTTAGAGTGTCTTTGACATCTTCATCCAGCGCAGTGCCTCAGTGGTGCAGAGTGGTTCCCAGGCTGCCTCTGAAATGAACTGTCAAACCCAATCCAAAACTACTTGAAAAGGAAAGACTTACAGTTTCATCTTAGTCATCCGCAAATTATCTGGAATCAGAGACTAACATCCACATAGTCTGAAAAGCAGGAAGAGCCAGAGAGGGTTACACCAGTGGCAGTCCACTGGTGTTGCCTATAATGCAAACCCAGGGTCAAAATCCTGAGTTTTTAAGCTTCTGAGAGCAGGGAAAGACACAGACACACAGCAGCTCTACAAGCTGGGCCTGTACTTTATGCCATGGCATGTCTTACATGAGCCAGCTCCACGCTTTCCAGTGCTACGGACTGGTGCTCCCTTTAGGACACCTCTAGTGGCAGCGCACTTGGGACATGAGCGTGGCAGCGGCTTCTGCTGCCAGTGCAGGGATGTGTGCAGACTCTGGAGACATTCCGTATCAAGGGGGTTACAGTATCAGCTGCTCCACTTCTCAGTTCCTGAACGCTGTATGAAAAAAGCTGGTAAAAAAAACACCTCTGGGCCAATTGTGTCAACAACTGGCAATGATGTTGTCCCTCCTTGCGACCGGCTGCTGGGGCCACATTGACTCAGTCTGGGAGCTTTGGTTGTAAAACATCAGCTCTGGGCCCTCCTGAATCTGCAGCACAGGTTACTGAACAAACAAACCCAAAAAAGCTCTCGTTTCCACTGAGATTGCCTGTGTCAATACAAAGTTAGCATTCCCTGGTAGGAACATCTACAGAAGGAAGTTGGTGAAACCCAGCAAGAAAGTATTATTTAATGTCATGGGAAGCAGCACCCAAGCCATTGCTCTGACACTGTGGGATACTTTCCTACCTCTTCTTCTTCTAACGTCTGACAGTCGGCGCAGCACAGCCCCTCTGGGAAAAACAGCTTCATATCCCGGACAGCTATTTGATAGGATTTGGAGCCTGAGAGATAAATACAATGAGAAGATTCTCTCAGGCCATGAATTAAACATTCTCTAGACTCACACTCATCTTGCTGAGAGATTGATGATGTGCAACTTACTGAAGTAATTGCTTTAAAGGCCAGCTGTTCTGTACAGTAATAGCAAACATTCTAAACCATTATATTTAGCATACTTCCACTGTCTGCTTGGTATTTTGATTCCACCCTATTATTGCTCAGTTTGTTCTTCATGTAAACCAGACTCCCCCTATTTCCTAACAGTGTTGTCAAGTGAATCTTGTCAAGGAGCCTGTGAAACTCTTGAGGACCAGCTCCTACGTCCCCATCATTGTTCATTGTCTTCTGAATGGGAAGCAACTACTAGTTAGTAAAACAAATGTGCTGAGTAACAATAATGGAAGTCCCAAATAGGAAGGTGGCTCCAATGTACTGGAGAGTAACAGAAGACAGTACTAGTGAAGACACTGCTGATAACAGTATATTATTCTGTTCACCTGTGGTCATGGAAGGTAAATTCAGACTGGAACTGGCAAAGAGAAAGCATGTGAGGGTCGGGGAAGGAAAGATGCATCATATGAAGAGTTAAAAGTAAAAGCTCTTGGCTTGTTTAGCCCAACCTAAAAAAGTTCACAAGGAATCTGATTTCTGTCCATAAATAAATCAAAGTGGAAAAAGACCTGAGAAGCAAAAGAACAAATTATAATTAGGATTACCACAAGAATAAATGCATCCAAACTGGATATGAATACATTTAAGTTTGAAAATGCAAGATTTCAGCCATCAGAGAAGTGAAGTTCTCAAACAACCATCCAAATAGGGGGTGAATATTTCTGAAAGGGAATATAGGATGGGGTGCTTCTGAGAGCATCAACTGAACTCAGTGACTTGAAGGTCCCTCCAAGCCTTCTCTACAAAATGACACTGTTATAAATCTTTACTCCAAACGTTTTCAGATTTGTGGATGGAAAATGCTAGAAAAGCAAAAGTTATTCCTATATAACTGGAGTTCCGACAGATTGTCAATGTGCTGGCATAGATCCATATCCCTAGGATACAAATGCACAAAAGGCAAAAATCCTCTAATATATTATGACTTCTGCAGGCTACACATTAAAAAAAAATATGCCATGCTCCTTTTAGAACACTGAGCTGTATTTAAAAGCACATAATTGTGGGTACTGTATAGTCCTTAATGCAGTAGCTGACAATCCTAAGAGTAAGTCACCAGTGTATAAGTCATTCTGTATCCTTCACATACCTTTATATCAAATCTTCCATTGTGTAAATAGCAATGCTACTAAAAATGCTTACAGCTCAGAAGAGTTAACATTTTACATTAATTTTGTTCAAGGTATAAGTTTGTAAAAGATGCACATATAAGAGCTCTTTCAGTTCAAGAAAAAGTAGTATGTATTCATTTCATAAGGCCCAGAAGAGACGTGAGGGGTGCAGGTTTACCTCTGCAGCTGAGTCTCAGACAACTAAAACTACATTACTGATTTTGATTGTATCATTGGAATTTGGCTTGTGTTTTACTTGAATTCTTCTGGTCACTTTGGGAGAAAAACACACAACTAAAGTTTAATCTACTTCAGCAAGATGACCTCTGTTAGAGAACCCCCTCATGGGGGCAAAACTGAGAAAACTTGGTATTCCCTCCTAGGAGGGAAAGATGTTCTTCCACAGCCCCCGAGATGATTACACCTGCAGTAATTAAACTCTTCCTGCTTTTCTTGTGTGCAAATGTTCCTTCTTTACTGGAGGACTCCTTGAGGTGCAAAGGATTCTGACCGCTGCTTTCCTCAAGGCCAGACTTCTGCTTGGTAGAGCAGGCTGGCCCAGATTCTCTTGCCAGCTGGAATCCTCGAGAGCAGTAGCTACAGCTGTGTCCCCTTCCCTGGTACGTGTTTAGTGACGGCTTTAGGACGCAGCCGCGGAGCTGGCTCTGACACCCTCACACCCCATCTGCTCCCAGGGCAGGTGCACACGATGACGGGTTCCCAGCTAACTCACTGTGTGCCAGCGCGTCGTGGAAGGAGGCAGCGATCTGAAAGGAATCCCTTAGCAGAGAGAGAGGGTTTCCCTAAAGCAGGGAACACTGTGACCTCCCTGGAAAGAGGGGTTGAGGCTAAGCCTCCCTTGTTAGTATAAACTAGTCTTTAAGTGAGTTGTGCTAAGGGTGCTCTAGTTCTAGCGTAGGTAACAAGTTTTGGATTTATATTAGCCATTCTTAGCTTTAACTGATGAGTTCCCATTCTCAAAACAACCTGGATACAAAAGCTGTTAACCCTTAAGAGCAAAAGGAGCAGGGCCGGGTAGCGGAATAGTAGTAGTTGAGCAGTCCTGAGCATTTATGTTGGGGCAGTAGATCCTGCTCGTCAGTCACTCTCATGAATAAGGTCCTGTAAATAATCATAGCGAAAGATGTCTCTAAGTTTATTCTTGGTGTAAATATTATGATCACATTTGACAAAAAGATTCTATATCAAGGAGCTGATTCTATTCCCCAAGCTGTACACGGTGGATACTTCATTCCCTACAGACTCTCCCAAAAAGAACTTTTGATAGAGATGAAAAGGGGGGGTGATTTGATAGCACAGAAGGGGAAAGAAAAAAGATAAATAAACCACGGAATCTTGAAAGAAAAGTTCTTCTGGAACCTGAAGGCATACTGTTCCCTCACTTGCTAGCTCACTTAGGTTTATAGAAACTATTGATTTTATCCCTGTTATATTGTTATATGTAACTACATAACCAGCACCACACTGAAGAAAAGCAAATTATTTAAATGAGCAGTGAAATAATAATGCTTAGAAATTTTGACTTACATCCTTTGCTCTCCCCTACAGCAGTAGCCCCAGTCTGCTCTTGCAACACTCCTGGTTCTACAAACGTCATCCCTTTCTCTTGCAAGACTTCCCATTTTCCCCATCCTTCTTCTGCTCCCCCCATACTCTGAGCTATGTCACCTCCCACCCCAGCCATCCCACACACACCCTGCAACAGGCGGCAGCTTGACCCTGTGTGCACTGAGGATGCTGACTAGCCAGGACGTCTGTGCTCATCTGCCAGCTGACACGTGACTGTCACAGTGGAAAACAGCTGAGTTTACCTGCTTTTCCCCAGTGGAGCACTTGTTGGTGATCTCTCTCTACCTAGTCACTGATTTTCTGAGACCTTCTGAGACCGGAGTATCTTGGAGTCTTTTACCCTTCTGTGAAATCTGTCTGCAGTTGTCCAGTGGGTTATAAAATTATCAGGAGGAAATTCAGAAAAAGGGAGAAGACAGGCAGGTGCTTGGGGACAATTACGAAGTGACCAAGCAGTCAGGCAAAGTCTGTTTTGGTGGAAGACAGATCTGGGTCTGTTCTGGGAAAAGGCTTTGGTATTTATCTTCTGGGAGAATATTTCATGGCTTGAGACATATTCAGCTTAGCCACCAAGAAAACAATGAAAGCTTTCTAGGGAGTAATGGTCTCTACTGCCTGCCAAAATTAGACCTGTATTGACAATGTTGGAAATTACGGAACATTATGTATTTTTTTTCTGTTGGTATATCTGAGCCTTCAGGCTTTTCTTTTACAAAAACCTACCATAAAATCCATTTTGGACAGCATTGATGCCATACTGAGCCCTCCATAGGAATGGGTCTAGTGCCTGGGCTAGCTTAGGATCCTCTGGCCCCAGTAAATCTAGCAGCTTCTTCACAGCATTTGATCTTTGAAGACACAGCACAAGGGCAGAGCCTGAGGTTAGGTAGGTACAATGAGCTTCTAAAACAGCAGGATCCTGAAAAGAAATAATGGAAAGGGAACACATTATAATAATCAGTGTTGGGGAGTGCTGGGTACATCCCAGCCATTCTTGGTAGATCTATCCCTCTGAAGCAAAAACATCCATGATTATTCCTTGTTTTCTCTCCTCTCATTATAAATGCTAATGTTCTCACATGCTCTGGTCAGTTATCCAGTGCTGGTGTGTGGCATCCACTAGGTAATAAAAGACCCATTGAGCATATGCTGTAGCCATGGTAGCTCTGATTTTAGTCCTTAGGGTCACAGATCAGTCAATGGTGGCTGTTACACGCACACGTTTAGTTTCAGCAGTACCTTCCTAAAATTCTCTGATAAGAAAGGAAACAAAACCTTTTTTTTCTAAAAGACAGAAAAGTCTTGTGCTGTGCCATTTTCTGCATACCTGCACATGCTAGGCACTAGAGGTGGAGTTCATTTTCAATTGATAAGAATACAAATAAATTGCTACTCTGCAGTTAGCCATTATTCTCATCTTCCCACCTAGAGAAAATGCTCTGTTTAAAGATCAAGGTATTTTCTGCTCAGGAAAAGCACAGTAGAGACAGTAATACTGTAACACATAACAAGCTCTGATTATGTCAAACAGCAAGTCTGATTCTTTTCTTAGAGCACTTCTAAATTGTTCATGAAGTGTTGTCAGTGATTAAAGATCTTAGAAATGAATAAAAAGAATTAGATGTGTTGCTTACAAGGAAGAGCAGTGATGCCAAGGGGGGAGATTCCTTTCCGAACAAAACCTGCACAGCAGGGCCAGGCGTCCAGCACAGCAGCTGCAGGCCGCCTCCTCCTGCCTCCTGCATCTTCAGAGGTGGCAGGAACAGCCCAGCTCTGCCTCCCTGCGCTCTGCAGGGAGGAGCTCAGCAGGGCCTGTGCTGCAGAGAAGCTCCAGGCCAGCACCGTGTGCTGCCCAGCTCACAGCCCACGGCACACTGAAGGTGTTGGCTGAGCCTGCCTGGTTGGTGGGACCGCACAGGGGCGGCGGGCTGGAATTCAGCGAGCAGCTCTGCTTCTGCACGTGGAGAGCAGGGGCTGGCAGGGCTCTGGCTCTGGAGGAGCCAGGTTGAAAAGCAGCAGCTAGAATCACAGCGCAGGACTGCAGGGTACAACCTCTACAGGCAGTTCTCCCTCCAGGAGCCATCCCTTCTCACAGTACAAAGGCCACTGGGTCACAGTGAGTGCTGAGAAGGCTGTGTCAGCTCCATTGATTGACCATTATTTTTATTATTATTCTAAATCTTCAAAAAAACAGCATTATTGGAGCTCTTGTGATTAGGTAACCTCAACAAATAGTAGACCAATCTATTATATATTATATATCACAGGCTAAGGCTTCTTAGAGACTGAATGTTAATATTTAAGATGGAAAAGGAATTGCATTTCTACAATCATTTTGCTGGGGATACTTGTCAACGTGCATGTAAATAATACATTCAAAAGAGAAAGGGGATGCTGGATAGCCTTGCGATCAGTGAATAAAACCAAAATCTGCTATTAATACATACATAAAAGTAACTGAAAGGGGCATATTGCAGAGCACATAGGAGTTTTCTGTATTTCAGTGAATTTTGGATCAGGCTCAAGCTAAGGAGGTAGAAATCACTGGACAAAATTTCTAGAAAGTTTTGACATACTGACTCCATATTCTTCTGCTATATTTCAGCAGTTCTTCTCTTTAAGAGCCCCATTTTAAAAACAGCATTTTATCCAGTTGTCCCCTATACTGAGAAATAGCTCTACACTGCTCCAATTTCAATGCTTTTATCAAGATCAGCTGTGAAAAAGGTTCTGCTCCCCTCCATACGCTACTATTGCAAAATTAACAGTCACATTTTCAAAATAGCCCAGTGAATGAAGCATGCTGAGGCTTTTTGGAAGTCTACCTATTTATCTGGGGAGCTGAACCCTTTTCAGTCCTCATGAGTGAAAGACTTTCAGGTACAGGCTACCCATGAGGAGGTCCTGTTCAGCAGAAAGTGTTTCCTACTGTCCTTTCCTGCTTGCCAAAGAGAGGGCATTATCTCTGTTTTCTCACTTTCAAAACCTGCGTTTATTCCATGAACACCAAAACAATACTCAGTAATTTTTAAACTCATTAGTCACAAGTTCTTCAAAGAAACCACATCAATGCTCAACAGCTGCTCTAGTGTGCTGGAGAAATCCAAAAACAAGTAAAAAATATTCATGAAAATCTCTTTCCAAATTTACTCTGCATATATATTTATACATATGTTTGCATATACACACACATATTTACCCTGAATATATATGTGTGTGCGTGTGCCTGTTTGTGTGCCTGTGTGTATACACATGAATATGCACATAACTTGGGGCAGAAAATGAATTTTTATTTTTATTTATGTTTGTTTCAGTTGATTAACTAAAGATTCAAGAAAAAACCTAACTCCTAAATGTTTACCTTTCAGTTTCCTGACAGTATCTTTATACTACATTTCCTGTCACCAGAGAATCTTTCATGTTGGGGTAAAATGAATTTCTGATATTATAAAAGAACAGAAACATAAACCTATTTTTAGCTAAAAAAAGCCGTAATATCCCACGCTTTAAAAATCCTCTTTATTCTCTATTAGAGAATGGAAATGACAGCAACCCAATTTTCTCTCTACACAGTCATTTTTAAGGACTTGTGAGCACATGCTTCTGGGACAGAGATTTAGCTGTATAAGTAATATAATTTCAAGACATATCAGGGCTCAAGAGGTTATATATGGTCTGGTGTTGCTAAGAGTATTTCCCAGCTTCCGGATTTAAAAGCATGGAAGGAAAACCAGGCACATGTGCAGGGAGTCCTGTACCCTCCTAGAGGTGCCCTGCCAGGAATGACCCTACAGAAGAAACAAGGGACACCTGCTTCCCAATTAAGAATCAACATTGTAAATTAGTCAATCAGCAGATTCCAGGAGAGGTGTCTCTATTTCCCCTACCTTCAGAACTCTTCTTTTAGAGTAACCTGATGTGTTTCTTTATACCAGGCAATAAGAGAAACTATTGTCATGTCAGCTTTTTTTGTCTGATACCAGGGCACATCTGATTCTACACACCTCACCTCTAACAACAGGCAGAAATCCTGGAACGGAATTTTTGTTTTTTTTCTATCACACTTCCCCATGTGAAACCCACACATAGTCATAGATCTGTCCCCCCCCCCCCTTTTTTTTTTTTTTTTTTGACAAACCTGTTTCATTTCAGGGGAAAGGAGTCCCAAGGCAATGTCTGGTTCCAGGTTTGTGTGTTTCATCCCAACCACACTGAATTTTTCTAGGTCTAGTTTTTGGAGGATCCTAGCAAGGCCCCGGGTCCAGGCACCAGGTTTGATCAGCAACACTGTGCAAAGAACCTGGGCTCCTGTAACAAAGCACAGTAATGAAACCCAAAGCTGCTCCTAAAAAGAGAGATAAAACATAACAGTAATATTAGCTTACTACCTGGGCAGGCATCTATAGGACTGGACCACCTAACAGCTGGCATGTTGTTTATAAAAACTTGAGTGAATCAAACAGCTCCATAAAAAAAAGATGTGTATACAGCTTGTCCTTTCAATTGAAAAAGAAATATATAGAGAACAGTCAGGGCTTGTACATATGTTTTGCAGGGAAGCTGCTCTGAGAGTCCAAAAGGTTTATCTGGCAGGTCTGTAGAATGAGACTCAATTCTTTGTATTATACATGAATGTTTTGAACAGGATAAAATATTCTTTTTTCCATTTTTCATATGAACTGTACTGATTATATGATGTAATCCTTAAGGCTGAAATCAAATTTTTATTCCTCCTATTTAACTTCTTTGAGTTTTATATCTGCTCAGATATGTTTTAGAGAAGCATTAGCAAACAAGTACAATTCCGTTTATTAAACCTAAAAATTCAGCAAAACCTTTTTGTTTTTGACAAAGCTCTCCCAGTAGGTTGCCAGCCAGGCTCAGTGTGCTATCAGAAACAGAGAACAAAATTGACCAAAATAGTTTTGCTAATACTAAAAAATATATTTAAGGGCAGAAAACCCCTGAATTTGTATATAAAGGACAACCCTTTCAAATTATTAGTTTCAGTAATATAAAGCACTGTATTGCTGGGAATATAGTTAGGATTTTATCCTAATAACATCATTTGAAGATTTATTGTAACTGTAGCATTGGAACCAGTGAGCTAGGATCCATTAACTGCTGTTGCCCTAGTATGTCAATTAGCATGAAGAATGAGGTAACAATACTGCAGGCTGCTAAAATTGATCCATGATTATCTGTTTGTGTACATAAAATGTCATTCTATGTTTCCTGTACACCGCATTACTAATTATACAGATGTCAATGCACTGAAGCATCAACAATGCTACATATAATTTGAAGCATACTGTTATTTTCAATTGGCAAGAGGCATGTCGCTGATTCATGACAAAGAAATCTGGGATTAAATACAAAAAGCAAGAGTACTGCCCCCATTTGATATCAGAACTTAACCCTTATCCTGCTGGGAATCCTTCTATTAAATATCTGCTATTTCCTTCACATCATTCTTGAACTGAAAGGTTTAAATGCCATAGCAACAGCCTGTAAGTGCAGCAGCAAGCCTCTTGGATCCACTCAGCTGCTAGCATACAGAATGCAATCTAAATTGTATACTGTTACATAAGTGTTCATTGTCCTCAAGATGTTTTACTTACCATCTGCTATGGTTCTGAGCAAACATTCTCATTCTTGTAGTACATGAATCACCACTATACATGCTGCATATTTATGTATTTTATAGACACTTCAGGAGGGATTTCTCTTATCTCAGTTTACATCTTTGTTTGAAGACAAGAGTCTAGCACAGATAGGACACTTTGCCCTCTAGAGTTGCTTTTCTCTCCCAGTGACTATAAGCAACTATGTTGGATAAAATATCTCTAACCATCAACACAGAACAGTCTCTACTGATCATGAATTGGCAGCTCTCAAAAATGCTCGATTTCCGCCTTCAGTTCTGGCTGTTTTGTGGACTTTCCAGATCTGCCCATATTTTGTGGTCTTGGTTATGCTTTTCTGCTCCATAGTACTTTTAAATCCATTCTTCAAAGCTTTTCTCAAGAAAAGTATTGACATAGGTTTTATTTTATATCCCATTTCTATACCATATTTTAGATATGTATGGATTTTAAGTGTTATCTCAAGAGAAGTACTAGATTTCCTGATATGTTTAGGAAAGAGAATTTATATCATTGCCTTTTTCAGGCCTAAGGAAACATTTGGTATTCTCAATTTGCTTGTTTTTTGCTGATTCTTCTAGATGAAAATTTCTTGCCAAACCCACTTTTTTTTTTTTCAATTTGCTCTTCTTCTCTCACCTGTTTGCAAGTAGGTGAACAGTGATTCCACATGGCATCTCCAGGTTTCTCCCACTAAGAAAAACAGATATATTTGATAAGAGATATACATGTTCTTGGACAATAATTTTTGTATACCACCACCAGCTCTACATAACATAACCAGCATTTCTATGACATACTGTTATTTTAAAACATCACAGACATATATGGCTTGATCTCAGAAGGGTGGGAATTCAGATGTATTGTGAGATCCTGGGAGATGCGATGGTTATAACCTCTCCAGTCACCCAATGGCATATGCCAAAGAGACTGCAAGTGCTCAAGTTTGTTGGTCTGATTCTCAGTTACCTTTTCTGGGCATTTCAGGCAGATTGACAAAAGAGCTTTTAAGCTATCTTTGTGCTTCCAATACTTCACAGCCAAGCTGGAATCTGTCTGGCTTCTGGTATAAGGCAGAGAAGCACAAGACTGTGCTTTGATTTCCCCTCGCTCCTGTGCCCTGGGAGCAAAGAAGGACTGCATATTCCAACTGCACATTTAACACAGATCTCATGGTCAGCCCTTTCCTCAGCTCTGCTGATAAAACCTCTCTGACCTTCCCCAAACAACCAGGAACACTCACTTCAGCTGTGAGCAGAGCAATGTAAAATAAGTCAGATATAAATAGGCCAGGGTTTATGACAAAAGCGCATATTAAAATGTGTCTAATGTGAAACTTGAAGTAACCTGGAAAGGTGAGAAGAGTTTAAGGCAGTTCAAGGCACATGAGAACTGAGATGATACCTACTGGGATGCAATGTGCAGAGGCTTGTATCTGATTGATAAAAGACTGCCTTTTTCAGAGATCTTAATTGCCAAGTTTAACCAGTACAAAAAGCACACAGAGAGCAGAAAAGTGAAATCTGTTTGTCGAAGTAGTCACTACCATTCTTTTATATTTTTTATTGATCAAAAGTTCCATATTTCTATTTCCCAGAGCATTGTATTTGAAGTTACCTAGGCAAAGTGTCCTTTTCTTTTAATGATACCTTGTTTTCTTTCCATGTATCTCTCTTACACTTCAGGAATAAGAAGAGCTAATATAAAAGGCAAAACCAGATCTCAGGTCCTTGACTCACAGCCTTCTAACTCACATCCTCACAGCACCATTTTTTTCTTTAATATTGGGGTTATCTGAAAGAACTCCTAGAAGCTGTGAAGTGCCCAATGACTGGAGTGGCCCTGCAATACAGGGGACAGAGATCCTGACTGAAACTTGGGAAACTTGTCTGTTGGGCAATGGTGGCCAAAGCATTTCACCTCTCTAGGTGTCAGTGACCTACTCTATAAGAAATAATGTAACTTAACTTCTTTAAGGTGTACAACTGAAAAGTGCTACAAATGGACTTGGCTTATTTTCATCTATTTCAAACAAGCTCTAGATAAATTGTCTAAATAAGCAGGGAAGAACCAGGTGGAAGACGAGCTAGTATTTAGATGACCCTGCTGACGACACCACCTTCCCCCAATATCAATTACACTCCTCTGGTCTTTTCTCCATTACTGTGCCTACAATGTCTAATCAAAAATGACTAATTTCATGTTGTTGACTGTGACAAAGAATGTACAGCTGTATTTTTTACATCTATTTTAAGAATATAAAACTATTTGTTTTTACCCAAGGGGCAACTAATACATACTTCTGATCTTATCTTCAGCCTTGGACCTCTTGCCAGGTGGTGGCAGGTACTTCATAGCAGGGCGGTGTTCTGGATCTGTAAGATGAGAGGTTTTTACGGATTCACAATTGCAGGATTTTCACTGTTTGGTGGAGAGGGGAGGGAAAGGTAATTATATTTAATGGGGGAGTAGGGATGCTGAGCTTTGAGCAGCTGAAAAATGCTTACAAGCTATTCTCAAAAACATTCCCCCTTTTCCTCACAAGAACAGCAAAAGCAGAAGTAAAAAATGTAATGATTTTATAAAGGGGATAGTGCAGCATGCTGGAGCCATAGTTAAAGTATTGTCTATGTTTCTGTGTTCTTAACAATGGCTTAGATGGGAAAGGCTGGCATCACAACTACAGCCTCCCTCAGTTAACTCCTCTTACAGCTCGGCAATTTTTTTTAACCTGATGTTTGGTCTCAAGATAACTTCAGTTAAGGGCAGCACTGCATTAATCCTTAGACTTTAATGTAGTAACTGGGGCTGTTTGATACCTTCTCTTTGGAGACCTCCTCTCCTTGCTCTCCAATCTTATATAAAACACCTACATATTTCACTGTTGAAGCTACCTTTTGTGAGAACTGAATGGGTGTCCTGGACTCGCCACCATCGCATTCTCCTCTTTGTATTCAAAGCCACTTTGCTGTTCTGCACTACACAAGTGCTGTTGGTTTGACACAGCATATACATTTGCGTTGACAACAAAGAACCTTTCCTCACCATTAAGAGATAGGAGAAAAGCTATAAATTACAAAGTGTAAATGTGCTTATGAAACTCTGTTGCTTCCTTCTCACAGTTCACATATGGAATTACCACAACCTTGACTTATCTCTGTGCCGAATAATCAAAAACCGGCAGTTTCAGAACTGTTTATATTCAAGTGTGAGGAGTCAGGCTTCCCAAAGAACTTAAGCAATATGCCAATATACTTCCCATTAGAAGAAAACAGCGGGAGCTCATACTCTGCCGCTCCAAAACATGCAGTGTGACTAACACCACGGTCTGCACAGTGATTTAGTTTAAGGAGGTGTGACTTGCTACTAGAGAAAAGCAGCAGGTTTACTATGCAGAAAGATCAATGCTAGTGGATATCACTGGAGTTTCAGGCACTATTGACAACAACGGGCTCTGTTCTTCACAAACTATTCATTCTTCTCCAGGATAAAAAGAAAATCTGCTTTCTTCTGCAAGAGCAAGAGGAGTTACAGTTTCTCAATACTGCTCCCTGGTCTCTGAGGGAAAGCTGGAGAAAGCAAGAGGAAGCAATGTTGCACATATATGAGAAAACAGGAGGTCAGTTAGACTAAACTTTATGCTGTTCAAGCATGCTGGAACATTTAAATGCCTTTATGGATGTTTCATTAATACCTGACCAGCAGAAAAGCAACTAAGTCCCTTTATAGGTCTACCTTTCTCAGCTCAGATGCAGCTCAGTGGTTAATAAATGTTCTCACCTTGGCAGATAGCTGCTTTAGGCCTTTCCAGTGGCCAGTGGAGAGACTGGCTACACCCAAGAGCAGCACAGACTTTAGGTAAGCTGGCAGGTCTGCACAAGGCAAGATCAGGGCATCTAGCTTTTTAAGTCAAGTGTCACAATTAAGTGCTCCCATGGAGGTGGGATAGATCCTCGCCTCTCTCCCCCCCAGTCTCTTATATAAAGAGGCAAAATACACACAGTATTATCTAGTGGTCCAGCCAAGAGCTTTAATGCCTATTTGATATTTATGGAATACCTTGAGATCTTCAGAGGAAGGGAGTCGGGGCATGCATGGTCACATTCAATTAACAGTCCAAACTATAGGTGACCTCAGCAAACTCCTGCTGACTTAATAAACCTGATCACGCAGCCAAGTGCAGAATTTAACCCCAAGTTATTGTTAATGAGTTTTCCTGGGCCTTAGCAGAACCCACAACAACAGATTCTTTTGTCCAAGTTCAATAAATTCCCAAACTCCCTCTCACTGAGAACATTACAAACAGTAAAAACAAGGCTTACCAGTTACAAAATCCTCCTCTGTGAAGAAGAGGACAGCTTGTCTGAACGTCATCTCTGGGGTCAAGGCCATTACTCTCTGCAGAACACTGTTACTTTTGCCCAGCTTCTCCCTGCACGATGGTAACCTCTCCAATGTGTCTGCAAGAACCTTGATGGCATTGATCCGTCGTAATGCACACACAAGCACTGGGTTTGACATGAGCGTGTCAATGCTTCTCTGCCAGGAAACATCTCCGACCTCAAAAGGGGTTATTTCTCTGGCCTGACTTCGAGTGAGGTGGGGAAGCCACTTCAGACCTAGAAGCTCAAATCCTGAATCCAGTCCTTCTGCAAAACAGAGAAATCTGTTTATTATCAGCCAACAGCAAATGCTTCCTAGAATCCATGCTTTTCTTTTGGAGACCTGTTTTCTAAATTTCCACTCCTTTTTTTAACTGCTTCCAAAGTTGCTTTGACACTACTCCCTCTCATATCCAAAATGGAGTGTAATGCAGGTACAGAAACACAGCAG